TATATTATATATTATTTATTTATTTTCTGCCACAATAGATAGACTTTAAGAGTAGGGTGCACTTTTATGTCGCGTATACTTAATATGCTGCGCTTTAATACGTCGGCTTACTTGGCGTATGCGTAATGCGAAGTCGAGTTGCGGCTGCATATGAAATGCGACTGTGTTGTGGCATGCGTGCGACAGTATATGTATGTGTGCCTGTGTGTGTGTCTTGTAAATTAGTGCGCTCATGCAAGGCTCACACACACACATGCACACATGCACACATACACACGTACACACTCACACACACATGCACATAGCTGAGCAGACAGCGTATGCCACTTAACCCGACTCCAGAGCCAGTTGCTACGCTCGACGCTATGACATGTCTCATGTAAAATAGCATTTTCGTGCGTTTGTTAATTAAAAGTGTAACCAAGGTACGGAGCGAAAGAGATAAGGCGAAAGAGAGCAAGAGCGAGAGCTAGAGCGAGATGGAGCTAATGGTGTAAGAGCGGGTGCAATGCCAGTTTGTGCCCGATGCGTTTTCGACGAGGTAAACCATAAATAATGAATGAAATTAACAACGCAGCAGCAACAACTCAAAAGCGTGACACTGCCATGTGCATGTGCGAGTGTGAGAGTATGCGTGCGTGTGTGTGTGTGTTTCATGTGCCTGACAGCAACTGACTCATCCTTTGCAGTGCAAAACCTTCCCAACGCCTACATTCGCACGCACTTGTGCAGAACGCTGCGCTTAGAGCAATTCCTTATGCGATTTTTTTTATTTATATGATTTTTATTAAAGTAAAACATGACTCAGGCAGTGATATATACAATATTGTTGAAATATGGCTCCATAATTTATGAATATGTTGAAAATTCCCAGATTTATGCAAATGAAAAACTAAAAACTCAATTTATCTACATCAGCGCCAGCAACAGAAAGAGCACAGAGCATTTCGCATTTCGCATTTACATTTTATAAATGCTGCATGGAAGCACTAAATGTGAGAGAAGCTGGCATTTGAAATAGAGTTTGGGTTGGGTACGGCTGGTAGCTGTTACTCGTTAATCAATAGTTATAAGTGAAAATCTGAATTTGATTAAAAGTTAAATTAAACATTTATCAGAGCTGAATGGATATTTATCTTTCATGGATCTAATACTCTGAAAGGTCTAGTCACTAATAGAGCCTATACCCTATATTTTGAATTTGACTACGGGCTTAAATAGTAATAGTAGCATTTTATATTAAATATTATAGACAAATTCAGCAAGGAGTTCCTGGATAATTCTGTAACCGTTAATAACTCTCAACTCTTTGTACTGTGTGGAGCAAAAGCAAGCAGCCGCTTTTCTTCTGCTGTATATTTTAGAAAAACTTAAAAGCACAGCTTCTGTTTTTTTTTTTATTTATTTCATTTGAATAATGTCAATACTAAATATTTTAGACAAAATATATTAAATATTATAGACAATGTA